AGAAATTTGTGGGAAGCCAAGAGAAGAAGAGGTGATGAATAAACCTGATGGGTGCAAGTCTAAGCGACAATAAGGGAGAAGACATACTTATACAAGTTGAAATGAAAGAGTGATCTACAGAAGTACCTCTGTCGAAACATAGCAAAGAAGCTCATCAAGAATGCAAAACAAGCGTACCTAGAGCTTAACAAGAAAATGATTTTGAAAGAGAGCGAGAGACGTATAAATTGCGAGAAAGAAAGCGTAGCCTGCAAAAGACATGGAGTGCTTCCGCCTATCAAAGACAAGCTTGGGAAGACGTTAAGAAGACCACAAGAGTAACTGAGAGGTAGCGAACATTCCGAAGAATTGTCATCCAATATGAGATAGCCATTCCATTAGCTGACTCTGTGAGTGTGCATAACCTGCGCTACTCATTAAAGCGGAGGAACTATGATTGATGATAACAAAGACAAAGAACGATAAGGCCACCTTTGGATGACATCCAACATAAATTTTGGGAAGGATTGCTCGATGCTCTTGGCTTGCAGGTCTCTTCAGTTGAGTCAGTCATTAAGGCTAAAGCATATCTCAAGATTGGTCAAAAGTGCAACGGTTTTATCATGGAAGAACAATGGCGATGTCGCAAGTTGTACAGTGTAACGGCTTATATGACTGATGAGCCATCTTCGAAGATCTTTGAGAGTACATTCAGAACACACATCGAGCGATCATAGAGCTATCAACCAATCATTGCGGATTTATAAAGGGCGGCACTACTGACGCAATCCATGCTGTACAAATAGTGATGGAGGACTATGGGAAAAATCAAAGAGCTATATGCAGCTTTTCTAAATAGAAGAGAGCCATCGGCGAGGTACCCCATGATGTATTATTGAGCCACGAGTCAAGTGAAAATTGTGGCAGTATAGTAGAAGCATTCCACATGTAGATCGCGTGCATCAAGAATCGGTTCTCTCTGCTCTAAACTTCATCACAATCATGGACGCATCGACGGAACACGCCTCAGACGACTCCTCCTAGGGCGGTGCAGATGATGTGGTCCTGGTAGCAGATAATATTGGGTGTACAACTTAATTCGGTCCGTTTTTTTTGCTTGAAAAGCGCATTTATTTGAATCATAAAATGAATTCATACCTTATTCAAAGTATTGGCCATCGCTAGCCATTACTTTTTCCCATCTTTCTGGCAATTTATGGATTCCGTCGCGGAAGAAAACGTTCATCTTTTGAAGACAACAATGAATCGAGCCAATTTTTGATGTCCTGTTCTAAATTGAAGCGTATTCCAATCAAAGCGTTCTGCATCGATAGAGCCAATTTTTGATGTCCTGTTCTGAATTGAAGCGTATTCCAATCAAAGCGTTCTGCATCGATCGAAACTAGTTCTGGCAATTTATGGATTCCGTCGCGGAAGAAACGTTCATCTTTTGAAGCCAAGAATGAATCGAGGCAATTTTTGAGTCCTTCTGAATAATAAAAGCGTATTCCAATCATAGCGTTCTGCATTCATCGAAACAAATGGTAGTCGGAAGGGGCAAGGTCTGGACTATAAGGCGGGTGAGCCAGAACTTCCCATCCACTATTTTCCAAATAGTTTTTAACCGGAACAGCAACAT